ATGGAAATGCACCAACCAAAACAGTCCTGCAGATATCAAAAGACTTTTGGGAATTTGAAGTTCAAAAGCAGCAAAGTGTTGCTTAACATAAGCCAGAGACTGAAGTGATCATGGTCATGCTTTTGGAGGTATGCTTTTCTCAGGCTGTTTATTGGGGCTCCTGCTACTCTGAGGTACTCAGGTATATGCTGGTGTCACAAAGGGAGTGGTAGGAGGCAGAACTAAACTTTGAAAGTCTTCCACAAGAAAGCAGTGAGAAGCTGAGAGTATTCTAGGGTCAAGCCAGCCCTGGCCAGCAGCTGTTGAAGTCTGTACTTTGAAGACGCTCCCTCTCTGGATTCCTCCTTATCCCTGTCTCCCTTGAGTCAGTCTGTTCAAAATGTAAAGTGTCCGGGTTCATCATTATTCCCTCCAAGGTGTGTGCAATCACAAATGTAGACAGTGAATCCTTATGAATGTATATGTTAAAAAAAAAAAAAAGTTGATAAAAAGGAAATGCTGAGGCAAAGTCAGACAAACCATTTGGTGCCGGAGGGCAGCAGAACAGCCACCAGGGGAAGGTGACCTGGGGCCCTGTTTGGATGTTGTACTCAAATGATTTCACCATAGATTGATGGCCTTAGACTTAGCACATATTCTCAATTTGATTTTTTTATTTTTACTATCAAGGGGCCAAGAAGGACACGCAATGAAAGAGTAGAAAGGGAAAATGATTGGGGGGAAAACATATATATATATATATATATATATATATATATATATATGTTTCAAATGCAATGGAAATAAAATGGAGACAATGAGAAACAGTCAAAGAAACCTCTCATTTTATTAAACAATGATCTAATGTCTGCCTAGAAAACACTTCTCTTTCATGGCCCAACTCAAGGCTCACTATCTCCAAGAAGCCTTTTGTTACCCTCCTTCCTTCATTCTATCTGGAACAGACTCTACCTCACATCTGTGACACATTATTTTCCTTGTTTGTTGTGCCTCTGTCCCCAAACTAGATCCTGGAAGGCAGAACAGGATCCTGTCTGAATCTGTCTCTCCTGTACATAAAATAGTGCCTGCTCCCTGATAGTTGCTCTGTGAATATTTATCAAATGACAAGTTTGAAGAACTCCATAGAACTGTGCAGGAGGTACAGCCATCCTTCAGTGAAATGCTGTGGAATTGAAATGTACACTCCCATTACCTTCTCCTTCATCCGCCCCTTCTCTCCCAGCTGACATTTCTCTGAGAAGTGGCCTTCTGCCCAAAGCTCCTGCCCATCAGACCACAAACAACCTCACTCTCCTAAGGTCTCCCTAAACCCAAATGCCTCCTTTTCTTTCTCTAATCTTCCATCCAAGAAAGGAAAATTCTTTTCTTCCTTTAGGAAAAAGGACATGTTTTCATTTGAAAAGACAGCAGCGGCTTAACCTGAATAAGTCTCTGGTTGGCGAAACTTCAAGAAAAATGATGAAGGGCATAGGAAGGATTCCAAACGTGCCAACCAAACCCCCGCCAGGGGGAGACTCAGAAGCATGACTTGGAGTCCCACTGCTCTTCTCTCCTCCGGCCCAAACACCCATATTAAATAGATTTGCAAGCCAAGGATTTTGTTCAGTATTTACACAGTTTATCCACCTGTCTCCACTCCCTGGCTTCTTAACTCACAGTACTGAAACGGGGGCCATTTTGTACGACATGGCCGTGGGCATTTTCTTCCTCCTGGGAAGAACAAAAAGGACTCCTTTTAACAATGATCTTCTCATCATGATTTCCACCAGATTCCCAGAGGTGTCTTAAATCAAAGAAAGGTGAAGAAACCTGTACTAACAGAAAACGCTTAACTTCATCGCAGAGAGGTGTGAGTCAGTCTTATAAAACCTTTCCACAGAAAGACTTTCCCTAGTTAACCCTTTCCTGTCTTTGTTCACTTAATTCTTTTTTTTTTTTATAAGCTGTAGGTATTCTTATCATTAGTATTTTCAGAAGTTATATTTCTCACTGAAGTCTATCAAAGTCTTAGTAAAAGTACCCCTAGCTCCTCACTAAGCAGGGTCCCCATTTGACTCCCTGGAAGTTAGGTCAGCGGCCTGATACCGTGAGCATACTGGGAACAAGTTGTACCAATACCAAATTTTAATTCCTCATAGAAGTATTTCAAAGGCTGCAAACACAGCCCCAGCAGAAAGAAATATAAATGTAAGACTACACAGGAAGGGAACAGAGAATAACAAAATCTCAGACTTGGAAAGGAATTCAGAGGTTCTTTTTCTCCCTCATCCACTGCCAGAATTCTTCTTATGGTTTCTCCAACAAATTGTCATTTAATTACTGTCTGAAGACCTCTGATGGCAAGGGATTCACTCTTGCTCAAGGCATTTGCCCTATTATATAACCCCTGAATTCCTAGGAGATTCATCCTCAAAGTTAGACAATATCTAACTTGTAGTTAGGTTGCCTGAGAAATCTGGACAACTTCATTCCCTCATGTACCTGGACTGTCCATCAAAAACTGTAAGGCAGTTTCAAGTCTCTCTTTTTCCTTATGGTGTTTAGACAGCACTGCATCCTGTTTATTTTTCTTGCTCTCCACAGTTCCTGATACTGTGCAGTGGGGAATGGGTGGAAGAATTAATGAATGGGGACATATCTCAGCTGTGTCTCTGTAGGACAAGGAGATGGCAGGAAGTGCCCAGGGTCCTAAATCATGGACTGTCCAGTGTGACAAGAGTTCCTACACCAATGGGGGAGGTGGTTCTGAAGCAGTGAGGAGAGTGGGGGCATTCCATGACTAGTCCCTGCCTGGCCACTCATCTCTCTTGAAGCCTGAACTTTTAGTCTCTCCCTGAGACCTAAGCTTAAAACAAACAAACAAACAAACAAACAAGGCACAAATATCTCCTTGCAATTAGCCAGGGCTTAAAGAACATAAATGCCCATAGGGTCAAGTAGAGCTTTCATGTAAGTGAGGCTTTAGAGTTTAAGAAAATAAGTGATCAGACAGAATTCAAGCATGCCCTCCTAATGAAATAAATTCAATTTATTTAAAGCACATTGTTTCAAAAAATAAATTAACACTCTTCATTTAGAGCTTATGGTTAAGGACATAAAGTATGCTACCAGACTCCAGGAGGGAAGACTGAATTATAGCTCTTTTACTTACTTGCTGTGAGATTTTAAGCAAGTTATTTAATCTCTGTATGCCTTAGTTGCTGGAACTATGAGATTAATACCGCCAATCACATTGGATTATCGTAAGAATTAAGAGCTGTGTACATTAATTAGAATGATGTCCAGAATGTGTGTGTGTGTGGAGAGAGAGAAGGAGAGTATGTGGGGTAGTATTTATGTAATCAGATATACTTATTCCTGTTACGCACTGTCTATATCCACAGATACAACCTGGCAGGTACAAATGGGACATGGAACCACACGTAAGAGATGCTTTGCAGAAAACTTGCATCTCACTGCTCTGTAACTAACTTACTGTAGTCTTGCCACATCACAGCAGGATCGTCTAGCTTAGAGGAAAGATGGCGGGGCTGATTATCAGGAGATCTGGCCTCTGGTCTCAGCCGTGTCCCGAGTTATCTGCCTGGCCTAAGTTAATCAGTTAATCTGTGCCTCAGCATCCTCAGCCAGCCTTATTCACCTCACAGAGACATTATGGGGGCAAAGTTTAAGAACTGACATGTTAATATAATGGTTCTAATCATACAAAGGTCTGCTGACTAATAAGAGGTCTAATAACCCATAATGGTTCCTTTCTCTCTTATAGGCTCTTCAAGATCAGATAGTCTTGGAGTGGTCAGTCACCACCCAGGCTCTCTCTCTCTCTCTTTTTTTCTTCCTTTGCATTTGCTCTTAGAATAAAATTGTCAGTGGGACGCTGTCATTCTTAATGTACTTCAGGCCTGATTCAACTCGCTTGCCCACCAGGTTTGATCTTTGTGTGAGGCTCACACATCATTCTTTACTTTCAGTGTCATAAATCATCAGAAAGCAAGATGAAGCAAAGAAGACCTCCTACCACTCCCCCAATTCCAAAAAAAAAAAAAAAAAAAAAAGTAGAGCAAGAGAAATCGGTCTAAGGTTGAGAGAGGTCAGAGTATGGCTGCATATTCCAATGGCCTTCTATGGCCTCAGCACAGTCCATCCCAGGGATGGTTCTAAAGCCCAGCCTCCTCTCATTACATTGGCAAATTCCAAGAGGAGAAAGAACATTTTCTTAATCATGGGAATGTGTTCTTTGAGATCAGACTACTGGGATGGCCACATCTTTGCCCTCATGACCAGTTCTAATACTTGTTCCATCCCTTAGGATTCTGATCTCACATGCTCTTGACCAGGACCAAAAGTCCTGCTCAGTGCTGGCTGGAATTATGTAGTGAGAAAACCTGACTTCCCCTAAGCACTGTCAGACTTGGTGTCCTTCAACATCCCTTGCATCAAGTGCGTTCCAGGCCCTGTATCCTTCTAACCTTTGCAGATTAAATTTTGTGTACATTCTCTTCAAACTCTGATCCTCAGCACCAAGCCCCATATTCCACAGTGTTTTGACTCACATCTACAACTTCTCTCCAAGACCTAGGCAACCGACTTCTAGGCATACGGCCTGCATTTATGCCAATTGTTTTAACGGCCCCCAGTAAAGGAGACTGCAGCAAAGATGACACGATATATGTGATGAGTGTCCTTCCGAAATTCAGATATGCTTATGATCTTCTCCTTTGCACGTAATGGACTCCAGCACAGAATAAATAATAAAGAATTACTGTGACACAGTTGAGGCAAATTAAAGTCAACGCATTTGAGACTTCAGCAATGAATTGATACTGGCCCTGAATACCAATTGCAAGTCATAAAGGTAAAGTACAATCAAGGTTTTGGCTGGAGCGCTGCCCAGGTGGGACCAAATTTAAGCTGAAATTCTGCAGCGTTCTGGAGGGCATGCACTGTCCCTCAGCCCAACATGACACTTCGTCAGGCTTCATGCTGTCAGTACTCACCATTCCTGCAGAGCAGGACGGCCAGGGAATCCTGAGAAGATGAATTGATGTAGAGCAAGAGGCTGGGCGCCTGAGCTGTCACAAAGCTAAATGCAATATTTTCCTTGGATGGAGCCGCATCTGTGTAAATCGCCGAGGATGAGAGGCTTATATTTTTGGTCACCGGGTAGGGTTCTTGAAACATATAAGTAACTGAAGTGCCAGCCTCAAAAACAGCAGAAACCTCTGAAACATAGAAGAGGGGAACGCACACATTGCCACATTTAGTCGATTATTCAGGCTAGCAATAACTGTTTATTGTTTGCTAAGCAACAAGCACTATGTGAGGTTTTTTTTTTTTTTACCTGAATTATACAATATGCTTCCCACAATAAGTTCGAAGTGGCAGAAGTCATTACTCTTATTTACAAATGAGAAACACGAGGCTGCAGAGGTTAAGCACCTTGAACAAGGTTGCATAGCTTTAAAAAAGAAAGCTGAGATTTGCAACCTGGAGTTTAGTTCCAGCTTAACATACATTTGTGGTATAACTACCATGTGCCAGGCGGATTTCTAGAGAAGCAAAGATAAACCGTCCCTGCCACCAGTACCGTAGTGATAAATTTTATTGCGACCTTCCTCGTTTCAAAACTGAGGTTCTAACTGTTCCAGCTAGTAGTGCTTTTCTGGTGTGTTAGGAGGATTGTGAGTGGGTTCTAAGTTACTGAGAATAGGACACTGGAGGAGGCTCTGCAGTAACCCTCTACGGTGTTGGATAAAATGTGAGGATCCATGGAAACAGAAGAGAGAGAATCCATGGAACTGGTAGAAAAGGCATGGGTATTCAACCCCTGGACTCCATTTTTGGGGATGTCTAGGAATTGACATTCGAGTCCAAAAAGAGCCAAGACTTGAGCAAACAGGGCTTCCTATGGGAAACAATTCCTATAGCATCGCACGTTGGATGGAGTTCTGCCGCCACCATGGAGAAAGGCAGCATCTACAAATCGATGACATTCAATTAGCAGGAATGTGCAAGTCACCCACATTCCCTCTATAATATGCTTACTCCAATTGTTACCACTTTAGTTTGGTGGAACTGGCACAGGATTTGGCTTCAGCCCTGGGTCTGGGCTGGATCAATTTCATACTAGCTGTGTGGTCCCAGGCAAGCTAGTGAATCCTGCGGAGACTGTTTTGGCATCTGGTGGATGGGAAGCGTAACACTTACGTCAACTATATTTCTCAGTGGATAAATGAGATACTGTGTGTAGAGCGCTTCTAACAGTTAGCCACTACAGTGTGAACTTACAGACTTTCCATATTAGAAGAGGCTTCAACCTGAACCCATCCCAATTTCCTTCACAAACTATCTGTTTATTGACTGCATACCCAACCCAATGCCGAAATATTTTCTTTCTTTTTTTAGATTTTCAAGTGTATTTGTTTATTTTTGAGAGAGAGAGACAAAGCACAAGCAGGGGAAGGGCAGAGAGACAGGGAGAGAGACAATCCCAAGCAGTCTCGGCCTTGTCAGCATAGAGCCCCATGCGGGGCTCAAACTCACGAACCCCAGTGAGATAATGACCTGAGCCGAAACCAAGGGTCAGATGCCACACTGACTGAGACACCCAGGTGCCCTGAGATATTCTTTTCTTTCAATCAAGGCTGCTCGTAAGTTCTCTTTCAATGTTACTGCTATAGAGTAATGTACTATCAAGGCACAGAGGAAAGGTTCCTTTTAGAACAACATAGCTCAGATCTTGCAGCAAACCTTTACCATAAAGATAGCACAATAAACATGAACTCATATTGGCGTGATTGATTTCTTTTTTTTTCCTGAATGATATGCGGAATTCACCTAATTCTCCATGAAATTTCTTGATTGAGTTGGTGGCACCTAGAACATAATCAAACCTGGCTTTCCCTTCCTAATTTCATTGCAAATTTGTTCTACCTTTGTGAAAATTCTATAACAGTCTGTAACAGTGCCAAAAAATTAAAGTTGCATATTTATGCATATTGGTGGCAGATTGGGAATACCAGTTCATTTTGACTAAAGGTTCAGAGAAAGTGTTCTGCATTTATCATTCAGGTTACAACATCCGTACTCCTGATTACAAAGATATGCAGCAGAGACTTGTGACAGAGAGGATTCCGGTTAATCATCAGCTTGATTCAAGCACTTTCCTTGAGTGAATTTCCTTGGGGACGCTTGGCCTGCATTTTGAGCTACTATCTCCTCGTTAACAGAATAATGGCTTTTATTTGATGTTGTGTGTGTGTTCAAATATAACTATAATTCAGAGCATTCTGTTATGAATAGCATATTAGATGTGGGCATATACAGATTTCATTTTTTTCCTTATACTTAGGACAGAAAATTAAAATGTAAAGCATTTTTAAACTAGAAGTGTCCTACCAAATTTCTGTCTTCCCTTCTCCCCTAACCCCAGATGTAATTATTCTTAATGTTTAATTATTTTAATGTTTAATATTTAGATACTGTCACTTTCAACATAAAACTTCCTTCAGCAAAACACTGGATTCTATTATTCTCGAAGTTTCTTGTATTTTATAGTCTAAGATTTTAAGCTCCCTGAGTGATTTATCTGAACACACAAAACCACTGGTCTAATTGGAAGAAACATTTTAACTAGATGTGATCATCTAAAACTATGCTGATTACATTCTGAGAAGAAAGCTCATACATCAAACAAAACAAAACAAACCACAATGAGAGGTAGCCTAGAGTCTGATGTGTGTGTGACAGAGATGGTGATTCCCAGGACTGCGTGTCTCTATGGTCAGAGTAGCCTAATCAGACGGGAAAGAGGAGCTCCACACTGACCAGGAGTAAAGTGTTGAGTGAATTATAAGAAACAGCCGGGAAACATGGTGGCACTGCAGAGAATGTATCTCTGAGCCAGCTGTGGAGTCTGACGGACTGGGAGCTTGGAACCTGGCTGTGCCCCTTCTCCAACAATCTCATGGGATCCCCCTCAACCTCAGTTCAAAATGTCACCTACAAAGAGGGGTGGATTTAATCTTGTGGTGGGTAGAACAACTGAAAGACATTGTGTAAAAGCAGGACACATGGTAGGAACTCAATGGACAATAGTTGCTCTCAATAATAGGGACACAACTTAGAATGAGTATAAAGGTAATGAGTAAGCCAGTGATTACCTAGAAATTAATCAAGCTGTCATTAATTTGGCAAAACATCCAACTAAAAATAAATGATAAAATTGGCAATTTGAATGGTGAGTGTATATTTCGTAATATTAGACATGTTTAATTTTTCTTTTTGCAATGATCCTGTGGATCTGTGTTTTTAATAAGCTCTTATCTTTTAGCAATATTGTAATATTTATAGACAAAATGATGTGATATTTGAAGGTTGCTTTGAAATAATAAAGGAGGAGGACGATGTGAGTGTATAGATGAAATAAAAATGGCCATGAGCTGGTCATTTTTGAAGCTAGATAATGGATGCATGAGGGTTCTGAAACTCTTCTCCCTATTATCATACAGAATTGGTTTTTTCTGTAATAAAAAGTAAAAAAAAAGAAAGCTATGTTGGCAGGAAGGTAAATAATAAATAATTTTTCAACAGGTTTTTGGCAATTGGTAAAGAGTACCTAAATATGCATACTATTTTTTCACTGAAATTCCATTATGGAGAAAAAATCAATACATGTGTTTATCACAGCATTATTTTTGTGCAAAAATTGGAGCAATCTAAAATTCCAAGACAATAATAAGAGCAAGCGCTCTGTAGGACTTTATTTGCCAGGCATTATCCCAAATGCTTTGTGAAGTGCTCGTTAAAATGTTCACCACAATCCTTCGTAAAGGATTTTTGAATTTTCTAATTTTTGGGGTGAGAAAACCAAGGAATCGGGAGGCAAGTTACACAACCAATGCCACACACTGTAGACTGTAGAGGAGCTAGAAGCTGAATTTAGGCAGATCAAGTGCCAGATTGCAGAATGGCACCACTGTTGCTAAGCTAAATTGCTCTGGGGATAGAATGGGTGACACGAGCAGAGGCAACCCCACCAGATGAAATATACTGCAGTCATTAAAACTGATGAATTATATTGAAATGTGTATAAAATGAAATAACGAAAATTTAGGCATAAAATGTAGAGATAAAATGCAGAATTACAGCAGCTAGGTTAAATGCAAAGAAAAGAGCTAGAAGAAAATCAGATTTTCTTTTTAATGCTTGTCTTTGAGGAATTAGATTTTTTATTTTTCTAGATTTCGAAATATATTTCCAGGTAAATTTCCAAATATATTGTCTAACTTTTTAATTGGAAAAAAAATGACAACAGTATGACAGTTATACCTAGATTCTTCATACAATAGTGGGGGTTGAGGGGGGCTAAAGACAAGCACACATCAATAAATGGTGTTAGAATAGTTGGATATCCACGGGCAAAAGAATTAAATTGAATCCCTGCCTTACACTAGCTACAAAAATTAATTCAAACTGGATCAAGCTATAAAAACTCTTAGAGGAAACCACAGACATAAATCTTCATGAGATTCAGTTAGGCAATGATTTGTTAGACATAATACCAAACACAATCAACTAAAATAAAACAATAAGAGGAACTGTATGGTATGAAAATGAAAAACTTTTGTGCTTCACAAGGTCTAATGGAGAAAATGAAAATGGGGGAAAATATTTACAAAGCATATATCTAATGTGAGAATTGTAATCAGAATATGCAAACAATTCCTGCAACTAAAAAAGAAAAAGAAAAATAGCTCAATCAAAAAACAAGCAAAAATTTAAATTAATGTATCACCAAAAAAGGTATACAGTCAATAAGAACATGAAAGATGTCCAGTGTTATTTGTCATCAGTGAAACGAAAGTCAAAACCACAATGGGATACCATTTCACACATTCACAGTAACATGTCTGTTATTAAAAAGGCAGATAATTACAAGTGTTGGTGAGGATGTGGAGAGATTGGAATCCTTGTACTTTGCTGGTGAGAATGTAAAATGGAGCAGCCACTTTGAAAATAGTTTGCCAGTTTCCTCAAAAAATTAAACATACATTTACCATATGACACAGTAATTCCACTTCTAGGTATATGCCCAAGAGAACAGAAAATATAAGTCCACACAAAAACATATATATGAATGTTAATAGCATTATTTATAATAGCCAAATAAATGGAAACATCCCAATGGCCACCAAGTGATGAACAGATGTGTGTGTGTGTGTGTGTGTGTGTGTGTGTGTGTGTTGGATCCATATAATGGCATAAAATACTCTTTGGAAACAAAAAAGGAACAAAATACTAAAAAATGCTACAGCATGGATGAATCTTAGAAACATGCTAAGTGAAAGAATCTAGACACAAAAAGGCTAGTGGTTCCATTTATCTAAAATGTCCAGATAGATAAGTAAATCAGTTGTTTTTTAGGGACAGTGGGGAAAGGTGAATAAGAGGTAGCTACTAATGGCTATAATATTTATTTTTAGAGTGATAAAAATATTCTGAAATTAAATAATGGTGATGGCTATGCAACTTTGTGAATATGCTAAAAATCACTTCATTATACAATTTAAAATGGTGGATTTTAGGTTATTAAAATTACATCTCAATTAAAAAAAGAGAGAGAGGGGCGCCTGGGTGGCTCAGTCGGCTAAGTGTTGACTTCAGCTCAGGTCATGATCTTGCGGTTTGTGAGTTAGAGCCCCACGTTGGGCTCTGTGCAGACAGCTCAGAGCCTGGAGCCTGCTTCAGATTCTATGTCTCCCTCTCTCTGCCCCTTCCCCAGCTAACACTCTGTCTCTCTCTCTCTCTCTCTCAAAAATAAATAAACATTAAAAAAAAAAGACACACACACACACAAAGCAGAAAATAATATTTGAATCCTAATACTATATTCCTATACAGAATGAAATTAGGGTTTTTAAAGAGAAAAAAAGAAACCAAAAAGTGCTGGATGGATCTTCAGCTCTGACATTTATTAGCAAGTCATTAAAACTCCATGAACTTCAATGTTCCCAATATGTTAAATGTGGATGTTAATATCCTCCCCACTAGGCTGGTCATAAGGAATGTATGTTGCAGTCAATAACTACTAACTAATCTCAAGATTATTGTTACTTTGTACTATCATCAGAAACTGGAAGTGGATCAATGGATTATGGTTCTGGCCCAGGCATTGGTAACTCCACCCCACATATTTCCAGTATCTGCATCCCCTAAGTTACACATGCCCTACTAGTTAATAACATAGAAAAGCACCCTTGTTCAGGATCATCACATAGCTAATGGCTCCCATGGTACACTTCCGTAGGCAATTGGTGTGGCTAGAAGACTAGGTTAAAAGGTTTCTTCTATATACTATGCAGGTAATGAATATAAAGGGAATCATTTCCTTAGATTTATGAGAAAGGGGTGAAAGTCTGGGGCTGTGAAATATGAAGCAAGCTGAAAAGGCTAAGCACATATTTGTCTATTTTGCTTATAGATCAAAGTAAAAAATGGGGAGAGAACACAGGCTATTTCAATATATGCAGCAAAAAGATATGGGGGTAGGGACAAAAGATACTTAATCAGAGTTGTTTCAGGGGAAAAAAAAAGCCAATGAAAAATTAGGCTAAATTTAGAACAATATGATCTATGAGATGTCTGACCAATGTCTCTGGAGAAATATAGAACAACACTGTTCTTTTTTTTTTTTTTTTTTTTTCTTTCAAAACATACAACTTGGATATAGATCCTGTAAAACAATGCTAGTATACCTTTGTAACTAGGCCTGGTGGTGTTTATTCTGTATTTGCTTCTTCTGGGACTAGACTAAGGGTGGCATTTAAGGTGTTTTTTTTTTAGGGGAAGTTAATCAGAGACCTCACTCAGGGTGAAAATCCAGTGGTGTCTTTGTGTCTCTTAGCACATTAAATACCTACTGGGATGGGACCACTTTATGTCAAGCTCATGAAGGAAGGGCCCAACACACTGTTGGCCCTAAAGTTTGTACCATTATTTTTTTCCCCCAACAAATACAATGGTTCTCAACAATAATAAGCAAGTAATTCAATCTGACTGGGGAGAGGGCCAGTGTGAACGATGAAGAGCTTAAATTACAGAGTCCTTCAAAGGGAACACTGAGTGCTCCTCTCTTCTCCATTGTTTTTAAGTTCCAACAGGAAATTGGACTAAATAAAGCACTGTTTGGTAGAGGTGTTTGTGAAATGAGTTTTAATCAATTGACAAGAATTGTGTATAATTGCCATCATTGTTTATATGTAAATGGTGTTTCAAAGTAATTGAAACATTTTAATAGCTTAAATGCTGCTCTTGAAATATTGTGTACATTATTTGTTCAACAAACTTTTTTCTTTCTATCAATAAAATAAACTTTACAATCTTGCGAATATTGGTAGGAGACCTAATCTTTTGCCTTTGTGTTTGAAAAAATACTAAGTGTTTATACTGAATAATCCCATTTTATAGTTTGTAGAGTTATCTTGAATTTTTCTAGAGAATTTACACCATGATCATCACTCCTCGTTCAAGATATACATCCATCATGGTTAGTTTTGCCAATGCAATGAAATAATAAGATTAGGAGGGGATATAGAAAGACACCGGGGCAGGGATTTTGATCTCTGTGTTTCATTCCCAGACCCTTGATGAACTAAATGTGAGTTTCCAGGCAAGGCTTTTAAAGCTTCAGACCGTACTCACATCATCTGCAGAATAGGCATATTTTACTAGATGTATGCTATTGATTTTACTAGATGTATGCTAGATGTCTACTCACTTACCTATAAGCTCTCTTTGTAAAAAATGCTTTAAAATGACTTTAAGCCTCCTTGAGACACTTCCAGGGGTAGATTCTATAATTCTGTGATTACACGTGTGGGCTAAGGAACTGGAACTGGGAAGATCAGTGCACCCCTGGCAATCTGGCTGATACAACAGAAACGAGAGTCCACTTCTCCCAGGTCTCAGCTGGCCCCTGGGCCAAGGAGACATGTTACGCTGTTACTATCTATCCAGTTCAACTGTACTGCCAATGTCAACACACAGTGAGATGGGTATATGTAATTGTATTGAGGAGTTACACAGAGTCTTTAAACAGAGTGAAACTGAAGAAGATAAATGATCGCTTGGGAACTGACGGAGGGCATGAATTGACCATGGCTTGGAGGCACTAGAATACAACACGGGAAAAACAGAGGTGCCCATTGTACCTTTTTTGCAAAAGGGCCCTTCATATGGTGAATTGGTGCAATCACACGAGTACCCACTGTACTTCTCCACGCACTTGCCCCCATTGTGGCAGATGCTACCATAAGTGCTACAATGGCCCGGGCATCCCGGCCGGACTCCAGACGTGACCTTGGCCCTCTCCTCCAGGTCCAACTTCTGCCCATTCAAGTGTAATGAGCGTATGCATCCTAGGAAGCCTTTCTGTCTTGATGATGTTCCCCCTAAGCAGTGAAAAATAAAAGAAAAAAAAAGTAAGGTATCATACCATTCAATGTTTTAGGTTTAATAGCGAGATACTCATAACAGTTATGTGTTGTTCTGTTGTCCTGCTGTGTTGAACTTTTCAATTATAGCTTCAGGTGAGAATTAGGAATTCAAACAGCATGTGCAAAATGCATTGCATGTCTCTCCAGGCCGGGAAGAAACTCACCCCAACTCAAAAAAAAAAAAAAAAAAAAGAGAGAAGAAAGAAAGAAAGAAAAAATAATATGCTTCACATGGAATCCTGTACCTTACATGTTTCAGACAGAAACTTTCGATCACCATGTTCCTTGCAAATGAAATAAAATGTGTTCTGATGTAGTCTCCAGCAGATTTTGTCTGAAGTAGAATGCACAAGGGAGATTGTCCCTTCGGACAAAGTGAGAAGCAAGTTGTTAGGCACATGAAGTTAGAACATGGGAACAAGTCTTGCATGGCTCCTGTAGTGCGATGCGAGCCCTGGAAGGAGGGCGGGCTTTGGGACACAGACATGGAGTCATACTCCAGGTCACTAGCTGATTAGCCACATTGACCACTGGATGACCTCATCTTAGCTACTTGATCTGTAAAATAATAATAAGTCTGTTTAGTGTATTTTCATAAAGCTTAGTTAAGATCGTGGAATGCAGTATGTGTTCAATCATTACTCTTTTCTATGCCTTCTCCTGAGCCCTTACAATGACTGGAACCAGTAGTCATTTATATGTATGTGTATATATAAAGAGAGACAGAGAGCACTATCCTAGCACTTACCTCCAAATTATTATTTGGAAGAGAAATTTCTCCTTCTGGAATACAGAACCGGATTATAACCCAACTTTTCTGCTGTGGGTACATCCTGAAGTTATCAGAGAGATTCACAATGCTCTTTGCAAATTATTTAAGAATGGAGTAGATTCCAAGTGACAGAGGATTTTGTTACCATTGGGAACCCAGGACTCTACTATCCCAAACCTCAGATATCAGAAAAATGTGAACAGAGAGACAATAAGTCAAGAAATTAAACTAAATCTCATCAGGAGATATTTATTTTTAATTTTTTAATGTTTATTTGTTTATGAGAGAGAGAAAGAGCATGAGCAGGGGGAGGGGGATGGGCAGAGACAGAGGCAGAGGAGGGTGGGAGACACAGAAACTGAAGCAGGCTCTGGGCTCTGAGTGGTCAGCACAGAGCCTGATGCAGGGCTTGAACTCATGAACTGGGAGATCATGACCTGAGTGGAAGTCAAACGCTCAACTGACTGAGCCACGCAGGCACCCCCACGCCCCCCCAATCAGGATATATTTATTTATTTGGTGCTTGGAATCATGGGAGATCCCAGAGAAGACACGGGCCCAGACTGCCTTTAAAAACAAAAGTTCTAGTCCAAATTCAACACTGTGGCCTCAAGTCCACACACATGAATAAAGGGAGGATACACTTAGGTCTTCAAGGTCTACAAAGTGTACTAACAGAGAGAAAAAAAAAAATAATAGGAGCAGGACCAACTTATCATTTATTTTGTGTATCTATCAACTCTCCTTTCTGAGCCCCATTCATTTCTAGTCCTACAATCCTATTAAATCTTGGTCTAGCAAATGCCCACATAAAAATATATTCCCACCAGGGTGGATACAGATGAGAATTCCAAATGTGTCATCTCAGAAGAGGAATATAGATGCTAAAGCAAGAAACAAAGCGGTAACTTGAAGAAATAAGTCAGGTAACCTAAAATTTCCTGGCATCTGTCAGCCTGGCAGGCTGGACAAGGAAATAATTGGAAATGGGGATGATGGGAAGGTACCGTGGGGTTAAGGGGGTTTTGTGTCTTCCCTGAATCACACCAGGCCTACAGACACATCAATATGTGTACGGCAGTCACTGGCTGCATCCACAGACAGACATAACGTTGCTAAAGGATTAATCGAGTCTTTTATTCTGAAATAATGGTGAAACTCTACTGTATTTTCAGTTCTGATAAGCGATACCCAAAGAGGGCCAGGAGGTCAAACCCAAATTGCATTCTCCTGCCTGTCTCAATTTGAGGGAGTAAATCTCCTTTCAACCGCAAGATAAATCAATTATAAATACAAGCAGATCATAAAGGAAGGCTCATTATTTCTTTCCCAGAGATTGTACAGAATAAAGAGGGGAGGATTGATGTAGTCAACCATTTTGCCTCCCCCCTCCCACCCCTTATTTTGTAGTTACTCTCTGCAGTAGATTTGAATAACTCTTCATACGTCTTGTTAGGGGCATTTTGCTTCTAGCAGAGGTGGAAATGCAAGACCTATTGCACATTTTCTCGTGTGTGACTTAGTCAACAAGTTTATAAATGGAGACAAGAGTGGCTGGGGTGGTTTCTCTGGCAGAAATGTGCTCCTTGAGGGTTGAGACATATGGAACATAGAAAGAATGACCTAAAACAAGAGGAGCATTTCATTCCCAGATGCTTACAAAACAAATGCACAATGAACTATGAACTAAGTTACACAACGAACTAACTTTCAGGGTTCACCTGACTGATTTTCATTCTTTATGAACGGTAAAAAACTAGAGGTCGGGCTTCTCTTTTGTCTTCCTGGAGAGGTAATAGGTAGACTGAGAATAGAATAAGTCCAGAAAGATGCCCCTCACCCACACATTCACACCCAGCCAGGTTGCTAGATCTCTCCATTTTCTGATGTTGCCTACTACCTGTAGAGTATTGGTGTAGATGTGAACCTTCTGTGAAACTTGAATAGGATACAGAAATGTAGCCACAATCTTCCCACCCCCTCCTTCCACACAGTCCTCCCCCTGCCCCCTCCCAACCTAGCCCTGCGGATTTGCTCTCCCAGCTATCTCTGGCTCCATCTACTTTTTTTTTTTTTTTTTTATTTTAGTTTTAATTTTTTTTTTAATTTTTAATTTTTTTTTAATTTTTTTTTAATTTTTTTTTAATTTTTTTAATTTTTTTAATTTTAATTTTTTAATTTTAGTTAACGTAAAGTGCCATCTGCTTCTTCATACACCTAGAGCCATAGTCCTAGTACATTGCTCCTCACTCCAACTTGACTCCCTTTGACAACCTTCCAACTGATTTTGTACGCTCAGTCCTGATTCTTCCCATCCATTCATTACTTTGGACTCGGCTATTTCTATTTAATGCTCTTCAGAGACTACTGATTGTCCTCAGGATCAAGTTCAAACCCTTAGCACAGATGGTACAGTATGAAAGATCTAGCCTTCATTTACCTCTCTAGCTCTCCCCCTCCCCCCGGCCCATATTCCTTTCTCTGACTTCAGTGCACCGGGCCTTCTGAACTACTAAGGCTCCCCAATGCCCTATGGTCTTGACTTTGGATCTCTTCATGTACTTGCCATAATGTGGTATGTTATTGTCTCCATGCATTCCACAATCCCATTACTCCACCCTTGTCTTTATACACACACACTTGCATTCATATACACACATCCCTTCCTCACATAGTTTCTGCAACCCAGTATTTAGTTATTTTATTTAGTTGTCACTTTTTAAAAAATGAGAAAAATTTTTTAAATTCGAATAAATCTTTGAAAAATCAGAAGAGATGTTAACAATGAACCTGCTTTCCTGCATGGCAAATGTCAGCTGTAGCCATGCTGTGGTCAGTTCCTTTAAGACAGGGACTCCCATCCCCACTTGGCCACATTCTCCTCCGGGACCACTTCATTCATTCATATGGCCTTCCCTGCTCTTGCAGGTATTTGATTTTTAAGCTGCTGCTCTAAGCTCTAATATACTTTTCTCTTTACTCACCTGAATCTTGTCTACAGTTCATTAAAAGGTTGGAACAACAAGAAAAAACAACAACAACAAAACTGTAGCATCATACTTAAAGCACTTGAAAGTCATGATTTCGAGGTTTGTAGTTAATCTGCAAGCTGACCAAGAATCAGAACAATGCTTCTAATTTAAAATAAAAATTACATTTCAAACATACTTGTCTGCTAGAAACTTTAAAAATAACTCATTGAGAGGTGCCTGGGTAGCTCAGTTGGTTAAGCATCCAACTTCAGCTCAGGTCATAATCTCGCAGTTCATGAGATAGAGCCCTGCGTTGGGCTCTGTGCTGACATCTCAGAGCTTGGAGTCTGCTTCAGATTTTGTGTCTTCCTCTCTCTCTGCCCTCCCCCACTCATGCTCTGTTTCTCCCTATCTCAAAAATAAATAAACATAAATTAAAAAAATTAAAACAATAAGATAAAATTAACTCATTGAATATCCCAAGGAAAAGAAGGCATTCTTCAAATTATTCACATTGTATAGTTGAGGAAACTTAGTGTCAGAGAGATTGTTTTGGCCAGAGTCAAGAATCAAACAGATTTTCTTTTTTTTTTATTAAAAAAAATTTTTTAACATTCATTTATTTTGAGAGAGAGAGACAGAGCACAAGCACTGGAGAAGCAGAGAGAGAGAGGAAGACACAGAATCCAAAGCAGGCTCCAGGCTCTGAGCTGTCAGCACAGAGCCAGACCTGGGGCTTGAACTCATGAGCTGTGAGATCATGACCTGAGCTGAAGTTGGACACTCAACCTACTGAGCCACCCAGGGGCCCCTCAAACAGATTTTCTGTGGCAGAGCCAGGTGTCCGACTGGGGTCTCTTGACCTTCAAAGCCTGCATACCTTGAAAGCTCTAAAATCCTAAAATGAATGAAATGATTAGACAACTTGAGTCATTCCTATAACCAAGGGATCCTTCTACCTTCTTACCTTTATCTCTACCATGTTTTCCCCCCCATCAAGTAATATACACATAGGCATTTATTCTCTTGACCTCCACCTCACCCTTCTGGATAACTATCACTATTGGTTAGCTTGTTGGCCTAGCGAGAAGTAGTTCTGCCTGAGACTCTTCAGCTGGCCCTTGGTATCAAGCATGTTCATTGTGATGATATTTCCTTGAATTACATACAAAGGTCACTATCATCATTCTAAGCCTGTCTTAGGAAACCTC